CGATGAGGGGGACGAGGAGAAGGCGGGAGGGTAGCCCCAGCCGCGGTGTCGCCAACCGCCCCCGCCCGCCGCGCCCTTGCCCTTGGCGGCCGGCGGGCAGAGGTAAGGGTACGGGTAGGGGGCGCACGCCGGGTACATGGAACCATCGAGCACCTCGTCCCCCAGGGCAGCCATAAGCGCGGCCGCTCCCGCCCGCCGCCGCGCGCTAAATAGGCGGCCGGGCGGAGGCGTGAGATCCCCTCCGCGGGGACGCCCCTCGCCGCGCCGCGCTCTGCGTCTTGCCAGCCACCGCCTCGCGTCCCCGCCTTCTCTGTACCCACAGGTCGGCACAGATACCCTTAGACGAGCTGGAGAGAGGCCTTCTTTGCGCTGAAAGTACTGATTTGTAAGTGCGAGAGCCCGAGGGGAGGAGGATTCCAGCAAGAGAGAATTATCACGGAGATTAGCTGAGCCAGGTGGGCCCCATCCCCGGCTGTGCCAGGTGTCTGCGCCGCCCGGGAAGCCGAGGCGAGGCCGGTGCCCCTGGCGGGGAACGAAAATGCCAAGGTTGGGAACTGCTTTGGGTCTGTCATCTCAGGTTGTAGTTTAATTATCTCGGAACTGCTCTGAGAAGTCTACCCACCGAGCCCTTTCAGTGAGTGTACGGGGGAAGCGCTCTGGGACATCTACGTCTAGGCTAATTGTTTCTCCCCTGGGGCACGTCCTCCCACCACCTAGTGGTGACCAGGAGACACTGCTTTGCTCTTTTCCGGGGTGGATAGTAGTTCTACAAGATTTCCTAACTAAACCATCCTTCCAAAAGATAAATTGATTTGGGATGTGTTTACATAAATAAAAAAGACCAAATTGAAAAGAAAATGTCCTGTCGACTAAAAGAATGTTGGTTGTTCATTGTCAATAAGTAGATATCAGATCAAGAAATCAAATACATTCATGTAATTTTTCTCTGATTTGATACTGGTTTGACAATAAATTACTATATTCATTGATTAATTTGCCTGTTTTGGATTTTTTCTGAATACAGGTCAAAATTCAACATTGTCCCTTTACAAGTTGAGCAAACACACTTTTTTTTAAACAATTACGTTAAAGTCAATTATGCTTTACAAAGATAGATTGTTTTTACTCTTATAAGATAATGCACCAAAATTCTACATTTCCAATACCCTGTTTTCTACTAGTTTCTATATTTGAAACAATCATATGTAGAAATTGGTAACAATAAAAACCAAAAAGCACATTTAACTAGTTCAGGAGTTACTTGAGCTGGCCCAGGTGCAAGTTATAGTATGATGTTGATCTGTAATTTGTGAAAACACTTGGTTAATACACCAAAATAACCTTACAATGTGAAGATCCTAATTGTTACATATATGATAATGCAAGCCAATTGTTATCCTTTATGTAAACCATGTGCACTACCACAGGCCATGAATATGAAGTAATATTTCAGAACGATAGAAGCTCCTGTGTATCTCCATGTTTAGAGAGAAGTCTGGGTGGTTTCCATCACTATTAAATTATCAGCTTTCACAGTGCCATAGGAAGTGTCTGCCATTTCTTCTTCTTTTAGTTTCTTATAAGAAATATCTGTATCTTCATCTTCATCTAGAGGATCTCGTTTGTGCAGTATTTCACTTCCATACATTTTATATATTAAAACAAAAATCCCCGCTTCTGCAGACTGGAAAAGGGCATAAAGCAAGGGAAACATGTACATGCTTCCTATGAATCGTGGTGGAAAGGCCAGTTTTAGAATGGCAGTGCAGAGCTGCACATTCTGACTGCCTGTTTCCAGGCATACAGTCCTCTTGCAGTTGGGTGGAAGACGGAAGAGAGTAGCTAAGCCATAGCCTGATGCGTAGCCTGCCAAAGGCATAAAAACCGCTACCACGTAAACAGCTGCAGGGATACTTGCCAGCAGTTCAGGTCCTAACATAGTGCCGGTCATTATGAAAAGGACCACCAAAGTCACTAGCAGAGACCACAGAGAAACCTAGTAATAGAAAATGGACAGACAAACCATCAGCAATGAGAGACTTGCAGAGGGATACAGGAAAGAGAATCCTAGGCTCTTGGATGAAGACACTCATCTAGTCTGACCTCCCACACAAAATGGAGATCTTTGACAGCATATCACCTCTTCAGGAGGCATCCAGATCCTTGTCAGACAGCTGTAATTGTTTGGAGGCCTGTCCTCATACTCAGTGACAATTTGCCTTCTATAACCCCTAGTCATTGACTTGGAGAGGCGCTCAGGAGCAACGTAGACCAGTCTACTTCTTCTGAAAAAAAAAACAGCTCTTCAGAATACTGGGCCGGCTCGTGGCTCACTCGGGAGAGTGTGGTGCTGATAACACCAAGGCCACGGGTTCGGATCCCATATAGGGATGGCCGGTTTGCTCACTGGGTGAGCGTGGTGCTGACAACACCAAGTCGAGGGTTAAGATCCCCTTACCGGTCATCTTTTAGAAAAAAAAAAAAAGTTTAAAAACCAGTTATCAGGAGAAGGCTACTTTCCTCCAGGCAGATTGTCCCCAGACCTTCAACCTGCATCATATAATTCTGTGTGGTGTCCTGACTGTTCTGGGCATGAGTTTAATTTGTAAATGTGCCTCTTAAAAAAGGAGCAGTTAACATGGAGCGCAATATCCCAGGTATGGTCTGATGAATAGACATTCCATCAGTAGATATTTGCTTTCCCTGAACCCCATGTTTTCAATAAGAAATTAGTTCTCATTTTATACATGAGAAAAAAGGCTATCAAAATTTATGCAATTTAGTGTGTGATGTTTTTATCCTTCAGAATACCTCATTATTGCAGAGGATTATTAACTATACTGCAATAATTACCAGCTCTTGGATAATGTAAGAGAAAACAATGTAAGATGTAAGGAATTCTTTGCAATTTTGCAACTTCCCCTTCTTTCACTTGCTCATGAGAAACCTGCCATCTGTAACTCTCTAATGATGCTTAGGAATTGACAATAGATGGATTTTAGAGATAGTATAACTGACTTATGAAATGTGTCATCTTGATGTTCTGACTGGTACATTTCACTCATCCAAGCAAATCAGGCTGTGTAAATAGTAAGGTGGAAACCTAAAAATTCCTTTTCTAGTTCTCTTTCAGATTTGTAGTTAATTCATTTTTTAAAATGGAGGGGTGAGGGAGAATAGAGATCGAGAGGGAACAGCTTGTGTTGCTTCTGGTTCCCTGGATATCTGGTTCCCTTCTGTAGTCTGTAGGATTGGCATATACTTTATACTCTTTTTTATTTAAAATTTATCTGGGATGGTACAAAATTCTACCCTAGAGGATGCTGAAATAATTATTATATAAGGTACACATACCACAAATGTATAGTTGGCAGAAACCAAACTATTATAAATAAAAACTTTTATTATATTAAGTTTCAAAGTGTGTCACATTGAAAGGAAATCTGATTCTTCATTTTGAAAATATTGGCCCCAAAGTTCCTTTGAAGTATTTTAAACCATCTGGGTGAGCATTAATATTGCTCATTTCAAATTGTTTGCAAAAGTATAACAAATATATAAATCATAACTTAATAGTGAGCTTCTTAAAGAATAGGGATAGTTCACCTTGAATTCAAAGGTAGACAATCTTAATGAATTGCCTATTATTTAAAAATATTGCTTCTGGTTTTATTGTGTATATAGCTCATTTGATTGACTTTCTCTTAGAATTCTTAAGGTTTTACAGTAAATGTCATTGCATTAACAGCATTAGCTTAATGATTAAACTTAAGTTTTTAATGCATCTCAAGATTATGGGTATATTATATATAATATGTATAAATATATGTATATTTACATGTACATATATATTACATTTGCGTATACATGTTTATTATGAAACAGGATTTCTTTTATTCAAGGTTAGATATATGTATAGAAAAGAACCCTCTATTTTTCATACTAATAAAAGTTGGCCCCTCTGTATAATCAAATTACTTTAGAAAATAAATTAACATAAGTAAAACACAAAGATTATGTCTTCTTACATCTACATAACTGAAACACTGGAATGGCTCTTTTTTTTCATTTATTTAAAGGAATTTGCCTGATCCTTTTACAGTAATTAGTTATGTATTTTATTTGATTAACTTCCTAAAATGAGCATTTTGTTCTATGGTTTACTTTTTTTTCACTACTATTTTTGAGTTTTCAAAGGAAGCTTAATTAACAAATATTTAATTTTTTTTCTCGGTCAACTATTAGAACTTTACTGCTACAGAAAGTATTGTTTTTTAAAAAAAATCAATAAAGCAATATTGGAAATATTGCATAAATCCCCCATCCTTTCATTAGGTTTAGAAGCTATGTAAAAGACTGCAACAGAGAAGGAAAAAGAAACACACAAATTTAATAACAGCAATATAGTTTACATTATATATCCAGGACTCAATTTTATTTTGTTCTTTAAAGCCAAGATTTTATGTAGTCTATTATATTGCCACAATGTAACTTTTCAATTACTTTTAATCTTGTGATTGTTAACTTATTTTTAAAAATTAATAAAATATTTTTAAGGGAAACTACCACATGGTTTTTCAGAATTAAAGCTCCACTTTTGATAATATAGTACTGCATTTTAAAAATACTGCACAAGATCTAAAATAATAATTTAATCTGCTTTGATTTTAAGTAGTGTACAGTTAGTGGAAAATATGTTGCCAATTAACTGCTCTGTCATCTGTTCCCCCCATGACCTGTTTCCTCCCCAGGAGTACTGAGAGTTCTCTTATACTGTTTTTAATTAAGTAATCTCTTAATTAAAGCTATCATTCTAGGGATTTTATATGAAAGATGGAAGTTATCTTTTCTGCATAAACTTTTATCCGTGTAAGCACTGCCAGGTCCTTTTCTTCCTTTTCCCTTTCCCAAACTTGCCAGGATTTGAGCAGGAGGTCACAGAGACTCTCTAAGCTAGAACATAAAGGGAAGAGGAACATTACCTTCACAATGTAGTCAGCCACCCGGTTGTATTTGTAGCGAATGAAGACGCCCAAGGCGATAGGGATGAGAGTGCTGCAGAGAGTCAGGGTCACGGCCCCGAGGGGCAGTAACTGCACCAGAGGGGTGTTGATCCAAGCCCGGCTGTAGATCCACAGGCACAGGGGCATCAAGACCAGGGCCAGAAGCGTGGA